AAAAAAACATTATATACTAATAAATTTTGTGTGGCTAACAGCTGGTTAGGTGTTGTAATTTGACAAGACCACCCACTGATTTTGAAGACAGTCTTTTTTGACTTTTGACTAGCTCTACAATTTCTTTGTTCTACGCAAGAATGTTATATTGTCTTATTCTAATTAACTTGTAAATGTCTTTTTTACTGAACTATTTTGTCAATTAAAAACAGCATGCGACTTCGTTAATCCAAGCAACCATAATATCTGAACTCACTGGCTTGTCATTCCATATTCTAGACACTAAAATTAATATCAAAACATTCCAGAAATGGTTACCCGTTTTAAGTCTAAAATTAAATAGTTGCATAAATTAGTCTCTCTAAAATCTTGTTGATGCTGATACAGAGCTGGTCTGCCAATATGCTGCTGAGTTGATCAGATGATGCGCAAATTGAGAAGAACTTTTTCATCTTCATAAAGAGCAGTTCCTCTCTCAATACAGACTAGACAATTCAACTATGCAATACATAAAAAACGTGAAACTCATCTGATGCTCATTTTTTCCTCTGATTTTTCTTCATTTTTACATCGTATATTGGTGGACAAATGGATTTTTAAACTTTGATAAACGTTAAAGGCATAATAGCATGAGAACTTGACTTTACTCGACTTGGGTTCTTGTTCTGTATGTATGTATGTCTGGCTGCTGCTTTCCATACTTGTTAAAAGCTCTCATCGATTTTCTGTGTTCTTGTTAGTCAATAGTCACAAGAGAAAGAAAATATTATTTGGGCTGAAGATTCCACCAAACTCCCATTTCATAATCACCTAAGCTTGAAACTCAGGTGGTGTCTCTTTTGATGCCTGTGCGATATTTTATTGGGTCGCGGACAACTTTCATTGCCTTTTTATTTTTGCATCTCAGCCTTAATTTAGAAATTTGGTTGTGAAGATTTGGAGTGCATTCTTTTTTTTTTTCTTTTTTCTTTTAAGAAATTTGGTTGCAAAGAGTTTGAGTTTATTCATATTTCACTTATTTGCTTTAGTTCTTGTACTATTGAATTGAAGAATTAACATACATGTACTAATTCATGTCCTGAATCTTGAGTTGCTGCCAATTTGCTAATGGGGATACATAACTATATGAACTGAAATGTCAATCATTTGATGGTTTTCTGAAGGAAACTTAATACTTGGCTCTCTTCGGTAACCATAGCCATTGGTTCCTTGCATTTGAAACAATATAGTTTATAGTGTATAAATATGAGTTGTTTATTTTGCAGTTCAAACTGCACAACACTTTTTTTTTGTATAAATATTATAGACACATTGTCTACATATGAAAATTGAGGACTGGGGAAGGACTGATGCCGACATATGGCTATTTGGTGTATGAGGAGCTCTTAGAAAAAGACTGAAAGTCCACCCTCCAGTCCAGAGTATTCTTCTTCCTTCTGCAGACGTCCATATATAAATATTCTAATAGTTTCCATCTCATTTTTAAGTGCATCACATTCCATGGAAATTAGACTTAATAGCTTGCTTGATTTGAGGGAAATAGAGGAAAAGGGAGGGAAGGGAGGTGGTTTTATTTCAACCAATTAAATTAAGTTATTGGGCCAATGAAATAATTTGATTAATTATAATAATTTTTCTTCCCTCCCCTTTCCTCAAATCAAACCAGCTATAAGAGTTTAAAAAATGAGAATATAGATGATAGAAACTTCACATGGAAGTTACCAATGTTTTAAACTTCCCTTGTGTTTGTTTCAGCATATAGATTATAGATGGAGAGCCATCTGCTATTTTTTTCTATCCATTTTTTCAGCATATACACGAACCTTGTGTTGTCCCTCTTTTGATGCCAAGCTTGGACACTTAACAATTTTTGTTTAGCCAAATATAGAATTCTCCACAATTGTTGCTTTTGGTGCAAGTTGACCTATATTCTAGTGGTAGTTTGTTTCTTTTTCCCTCTGCTTAGAGACTAAAACTAAGTTAAATAAGGTTTTCTTGTTTTGTTCCTCTCTTGATGCCAAGCTTGAACACTAACAATTTTGTTTAGCCAAATATAGAATTCCCCACAGTTGTTGCTTTTGGTGCAAGCTGACCTTATATTCTAGTGGTAGTTTGTTTGTTTTTTTTTTTTTTTTTTTTTTTTTTGTCCTCTGCTTTAGAGACTAAAACTAAGTCAAATAGGATTTTCTTGAAAGAGTTTATGTAATTTATAACTTTTATAATCTTATTTTATTTCTTTTAGAGTACTATTTTCAAAATTCAAACAACAATTTTACAAAAACTCATATCAAACAGGTTCTCAATCCCATGGCAAAGTTGATCCACCCATACAATTTTTTTTTTTTTTTTGAAATTAAGAGTTAACGTTTCATCGCACCTAACCTTTCAAGTCAAGTGGTTTTCAAACCATCTCGAAGGTGCAATCCCCTCTCATGATAGGTTCGAAATTTGAACCCCACTCTTTACACTTTGTTAAAAAAAAAAAAAAGTTAACATTTCACCAAGCTACATTAAACAGCCTATCTCATTAGGCATTAAGCTTACGTTTACCCAACTGCCCATACCAGGGATATACTTAATTAATAAACAGGAGCCGTGACTACTTTTTTCCCCCTTGCAAGTGCTAGAAATGTTTAAGCCCAAAAAAGGTGTTGCTCTTGTTCAAGTATGACAAAAGGTGCGCCAAGCCAAGTTACCACGAATAATCGCCAAAATCCAAGTCAAGAAACGACAATAGTGCCTTGCCCACTATCGTGTGCTGCACTACCCTTAGTAAATAGTGGTTCAGCTGTAATATAATAATAGGTTTTTCTTTTATAGTTTAAATTGTATTAGATTAAAAAATATAAGTATTAAGTAAAAGATAATTTTTATAGTATATTTGAATTGTAAAAAATAAAAGAGATGGAAAAAGAGAGAGGAGATGAAAAAAATTCTTTATTTGATAATCAAAAAAATTGAAAAGGAGGGGAAGGAAAAAAAAATTTTTTATTTTATTTTTTTTTAATTTAATTACTTATCTAAATAAAAAAAAAAGAAATGAGGGAAATAAAGGGGAATAGAAAGTAAAAAATTTTCTCCTCCTCTCTTCCTCTTCTTTTTATTTTCTTCAACCCAAATATAAAGTTAATATTAAGAGATTCATATCATATTTAATAATTTTAATTGTATAATTCATATTGTACAACAGCTTTTTCATATAATAATTCTATTGCGTGCTCCCCTCTTGCAGTCCAAAACAGAACACAAAATCCTTCTCACTTGCCGCATATCACTTGAATGCCCCCACATGAAAAAAATGGCATTTAGCTAGCCATCATCTCTCCCTATTTTCCATTCTCCTCAAACACAGGTCACGTGACCTACACGTGTCGTCTAACGTGACTTGAAACTTCTTTTCCAAAGTCTTCGTCTCCTCTCAACAAAAGCAAACCATAGCCACATGGACCAACATGTAGTGAATAGAAGCATTAATGTCGCAGAAGAAAAAAAAAGTATGTGGATTCAATTATCCAATAATTCCATACTATTGCGAGGTCATAAGGTGCCAATAATGCAATGCCGTCATTGTGGAATAATATATTGAAAACAATGACAAGGTTGCCAACAACTTCAAACTTCCCTTCATTGGCTATAAATTAATTGTTCGGTCCATTGCATCTTCCTCCGAAACCCACCCCAAAGATGATTTAGTCATCTCCCTCAAGCAAACAATATTTTTTTAAGAAGAGACTCAATTAAGTATAATTTAAACTTTAGATTAAGTAGTTCCTAACAAAGTATTAGAGTTATTTTAACTTGATCCTTTATGGTTTAAAATTTAATTGCTTTCTTGATTTTTTTTTTCTATTATTTATATGTTTTGTGGATGTGTTTTTTGTTTGTAGGTTTTTGTTAGTCCCATCATATTGCTTATCAGGAGGAGTTTAAGCTTTTAGGTTAATTTGTTCTTGATGCAAATACATTTTCATACACTTATTTTACTATATAAATTATTAAATAAAAATGAAATGCTTAATATTAAAAATTATAACCTCATTTAATGATTTTTATTTTATAATTTAAATTACAAAATAAAAAACTCATCAACTTTTAATATTATTTTTATATATTAGTATCATTTTTAAGAACATATGCATGGCATGATCTCCTAAGACGCATGCTCATGGCCATGCATTAAATTATTGGTCATCGGTGCATCAATTAAATGTATTATAAACATTAAAGATGCTTATCTACACTCAACTATAAATTATACTCTTTTCTTTACCTATCATCACGTCACAACGCACGGATATGAATACATAAATTTTTAAATATTATTTTCTTAGAATATTAATTTTGTTTAGTATAATTATTAAAAATAATTAATAATTATAATTTTTTTTAACAGGTTGACAAGGGACCGAGTCGAACCCAAACCCAAAAAGAGGGAGAAGTGCATCGTGAAGTTGTTAATGTCACTTAATCCGCAGGGTCCAATGCAATTAATAATTATAATTGTTACTTGATAAGTGGTAAAATATTATATATATATATTACTTAACAAATTAAAATTATTCTGTACATTAATATTGCCAAATATTAATTTTTTTTTAAATATCAATATTTGTGTGGTTTTAACCAATTTTGTGAGGGCCAATAACATGGACCTGCACTATAGTCACACTGACCCCTCTTCCATTGCTTTTCCCTAGCTCTTTTATTCACATAATAGAGTCTGCCTTCACTTGCATTGATTCATTGTTCCCCAAGTTCCTTCCATCACCCAAAAAAGTCACATGAAATTCAATCTCCATAACCAACTACTGCAATCGAATCCCACATGAAGTTCCCCCCCTTCCTTTCTAAATTTAAATAGTAGTACTTTCGTTAGCAGTTCATCACTCGACAAAATCAACTTCTTGTGATTACAGTTCGGCATATGCCTCTTTTGGACTGATGACACTCTTTTGAAAACCAAATTTGTTGACTACTTGATCCGGAGGTGCTTTCCTTTCTTCTTGCTGAATTCTCTTGCTCAACTTTTGATTTTCCCAAGAAAATTTGACTTTTAAGCCCCGTATCTTTCTCTCCCATACCAATTATTTTTTATTATAATTTTGTTTGGTCACAGCACTATAACAGTAGCTAGTTGGAGCTCTGTGGCTTGTTTAAGTTTCTAGTACTTTACTGAGAGTGGAGAAACTGAGTACGTAGATCTTTGGGGGACAGCAATGGGGAAACTCAGTTTTGGGAAGATGTTGGATTGCCTTTATCTTTCTCCTCTTGGAGGAAACTCATGCTCTTGTCTCTGTATCAACACCTTGGAAAATGAAGATGAGTTTGAGGAAAAGTCATTGGTGGAAAGTGACAAAACCCAGCAACTGAGACTGAAGGATATTGTTGCTGGTAAACAGACCTTAGCCTTTCAATTGAAGCCAAAGGTAATGTCTTATGTCTCTGTTCACTCCCCTCCCCCTACTTATGTATGTAGCTGTTTTTCTTCAAGAAAGAAAGAAAAGGGAAATTTTGGATATATAGTTTTGAGTAATTAACTTCTTGTTGGTGATGTTTGCATGTAGGTGGTGGTGTTGAGGGTGTCTATGCACTGTAGTGGCTGTGCAAGAAAGGTTGAGAAACACATTTCAAAGATTGAAGGTATATATTTGCCAAATATTTTTTCAGCTTTTCCATTTTTAATTAGAAATTTCATTTCTCCTTTTTTATATCACTATTTTCATCACTATCTTCGTTGAAATTGTGTGTTTCTTATGAATATTAAAAACAGGAGTTACTTCATACAAGGTAGACTTGGAAAGCAAAAGGGTGGTTGTAACTGGAGATATACTCCCTTTTGAAGTACTAGAAAGTGTCTCTAGGGTTAAAAAAGCAGAGCTTTGGAGTTCTCCTTGCTGATGCATGATAGATATATATCCTTTTGCTTCTCCCATGCTACAATGAACATCAAGAAAAAGGAGAAATTAACCAAGTTCTCTGTATCTATTGGGGGAAAAAGGTCTATTTTGAGTATCACAAGTATATTAGATCGGCTGTAATATCCTATATGGGATGTTTCGATTAATTGTTTATATTGGTTAATAGTCGATAATTTATATATGATAATTTGTTATTTATAATTTAAAATATATAATCTGTCTTATTACGGGCAAAGTTGATAGAACAAAAACCCCTTATATACTCAGTTTCAAGTTCGTTTCCTTGGCTAGAGGAAAAGAAAGCAAGAGATTTCAGTTCCAGCAATACAGGTTTATGTTTGAGCTCATCCAGCAGAACATTGTTACAGCAATTACTAATTTCGAAAGATTTTTTTTCTTTTTCTTTTTTGGCTGGAGTTGATATGATGGATCTTCTTTTGAATCAAATATGGCCCAGAGAAGTTACATGGTTTGGCAACTCAAACATCAAGTGTGTTCAGGAATGTCCTCACCTCTCC